CCTCCTCCTCCTCTTCCTCCTCCTCCTCCCCTCCTCCCCTCCTCTTTCTCCTCCTCCTCCTCCTCCTCCTCCTCCTCCTCCTCCTCCCGACCGCGGGCCGAGCGGGACCGCATTTTCGAGGAGGAGGGCCTGTTCTGCGGCGGGCGCTGGCTGGGCGCGCAGGCCACCTCCTGTGATGAGAAGCGGGATCACATTGCGACACGGACACGATGTAGACGTGCTTTGATACGACGGTGCTGATGTTTTCTTCCGTCACCCTCGCAATCACGTACTCCAACGCTGCGCGCCGGTCTTCATTGTTTTTTCCTTTGCTTGTAGCCCTGAGTGCCCGTCTTGGGCACCTGCCGAAAGTATGTGATTGCGAAGCCAGCCCCTCCATTCTGCTCTTCCCCACAGTGCCCTTCGGAGCCCATTCCGCCTTTGGCTGGCCCGCTCGGCAACCGAACGGGCAGCCGAACGGGCTCGGATCCCAAAGGGCCGGAGGACTTATGAAGCCGTTCGGCCTCGGGCTGGGCTCGATCCTGAGTCCGCTCGACGGCCGCATGGGCCAGTCGTCGAATGGGCTCGGACGGGGGCCCTGGGGGAGGAGCGAGGGAGGAGGAGGGGCGAGGAGAGGAGCGGAGGGGAGGAGGAGGGGAGGAGGAGAGGCGAGGGGGGAGGAGGAGGGCGGAGGAGAGGGAGGAGGGGAGGAGGAGGGGCGAGGAGGGGGAGGAGGAGGGGCGAGGGATGAGGAGGGGCGAAGGGGGTTAATTGGAAACGGGAGGTCTGCGAGATCTGTGGCATGCAGCTGGTATCGGCCCCGCCACAAGGCGCTGTCCTCGAGATGCGTCGGCGCATCCGGCGCCGTGAAGCTGGCAGCATGCAGCATGATTCGGTAGCACTCCCTCTTGCCATCTTTTTTCTCGTCCGCCCCGAAAGGAGGGGGGATCTTCCTCAGCTCATGTGTCAAGTAGGGGATCGACTACGGAATTGATGTACCCCGAAATTGACCTCGCCGTCGAATCTGCAAAGGAATACGTAGACTGCTCCGTAGACTGCTCCGTAGATTTACGGAGCATCCTGCGCACTTCTCGTAGATTCAAGGGGAAACCAATCTGGGGTAAAGCAAATCTGTAGACGACCCCCTACTCGAATTTGTTCGGCCGCCGAACGGGCTTTCGGTATAGCTCATGCGGCGGGCGAGCGGGCCACCCGGTCGGAGCTAAGGCCGCTCGGGGGCCCGTTCGGCGGCCGCACAGACCGCACGAGCGCAGAAGCCGACCCGGGCATCTGACGATGGATCCTCTCAAGCAGTGGCGAAGCGTCTTGGCTTGCCTATGGGCCCGCCAAAGGATGTTCTGAGATCCGTTTGTGGTTTGCACGAATGTGTCTATAAACATTGCTGGTTGGTCTTGTTCTAATGCATCGGGCGAATGTTCTAAGAACAATGCTTTTGTTATCAAAGCGTTCTTGGATTCTAAGACCATGTCGTGCTAGGCCTATCGGAATGTCGGGACGGATGAATCATCGGCCCTAGAGGTCCCGACCGATTCCCCTTTTTTCCGTCACGGGCTAGTTTTGCTTGCTCTGGGCCCGAAAACGAGGCGCTGGAGGCCGAAGCCGATGAGGGATGCAATCATCAAAATATCAGGTCGTCAGGGATTGGAGCTACGGGCTCAGAAAGGGAACCCTCGGAGGGGGTGGGGCGGAGCCGCCACCTGGTGTCGCACAGGTCCTGCAGAGTCCAGAGGACCTGATCTATTTGCAGCAGCTCATCGTGCGGCTCCGCCCGCGCGTGGTCGTCGAGACGGGCACCTACCGAGGGGGCCTCGCGCTGTTCGTCGCCAGCATCTTCGACCAGCTGGGCCTCGCGGGCTCCCAGGTCGTGACGCTGGACACGTTCGACGTGGAGATCAGACGCCGTAGACAGAATTTTGTCGGAGGTCCATGCGGAGTCTTTGAGTCGACGTTGGACCCCCCTGCTGGCGCCTCTGGCGCCGCCCATGGCGCTCAGGGGGCTCAGCGCCGGTCCGATAATTCCGCGCGCGTTTCCAAGAGTTTGCGTGTTGGCCTTCTTCTTCTTCTTCTCCTCCTCCTCCTCCTCCTCCTCCTCCTCCTCCTCCTCCTCCTCCGCCTCGTCCTCTCTCCTCCCCTCCCCCTCCCCCCTCCTCCTCCTCCTCCTCCTCCTCCTCCTCCTCCTCCTCCTCCTCCTCCTCCTCCTCCTCCTCCTCCTCCTCCTCCTCCTCCTTCTCCTGCTCCTCGTCCTCCTCCTTCTCTAGGAGAGTAATTTTCACAACCTGGACAACCAGCCGCTCTGCCCCGTCTGCCTCGACTGCGTCCGGGCGCACGAGACGGAACTGTGGCGCGCGCACGTGGTCTTCTTCCGCGGGAACAGCCTCCGCCTGTCGGAGGAGGTGCGGAGGGCCGTCGCCGAATCCCGGCGGGGCGGCGCGGGGCCCGTCGTGGTGCTGCTGGACGCCCAGCACAGCTACAGCGCGACGCTCGTGGAGCTGCACCTCTACGGCGGCCTGGTGGACGTCGGCTCCTACGTGGTAGTCCAGGACGCGCGGCTGGACGCCACCTACGGGCGCCCCGGGCCGCTCGCCGCGGGCGCCCAGCTGCTGCAGACGGGCCAGTGGGTCTGGGACCGAGACGTGGAGGTCTTCGGCCACACGCAGCACATGAGCGACGCGGACAACGGGGTTCGATTGCGCGGGCATTCGCGCTTCACCAGAGCCCCGAATAATCAGGGCCAGGGGTGGTCAGGAGTATCTCCCAATTCGCGCCCCGGGAGCCCAGACCGGAGTTGCCCCAGATTGGAGCCATCCCGGTTAATTCAGGCTCCCGCGTCTTCCCGACTCATCGGGGGTAGGGGGCGATCAGGGGTAAGTATTGGTGTGTGTGTGTGCGTCGTGGGCCCAAACTGGAGCTACCCCAGACCAGACTCATCCTGGATAATTCGGGCGTCCACTTTCAGCTGCCTGCGCAAGGTGGCACGCCAGCGCCCTAGTTTTCGATGCAGCGCGCCGCGCTGGCGGCCAGCGTAAGCCACCGCGCCAGGCCGCTGAGTCTCGAAGAACAACACATGACGAAAACATGAACTTTCGGATGTCCGCTCGGAGGCTTTTGGTCGGCGCTGGAGCCCCCTTATCGGCGCCTCTGGCACCGCCCTTGCCGCGCCCTGTCGATCCAAGAACTCCGCGCGGACCTCCAAGAACCGGTGCTGATGGCGCACATGCCGTGCTCTGTTTCTCTTTCTGGCCGAGGCCAGACAATGTCAAACCCGAAGCCAATGTTTTTATCTCTTGGGGGCGCATGCGCTGCTCCCGCCGGCCTCCCGCTGGCGGAGCCGCCCTCGCTTTAATCACTTCCGTCCTCCTCCTCCTCCTCCTCCTCCTCGTCCTCCTCCTCCTCCTCCTCCTCCTCCTCCTCCTCCTCCTCCTCCTCCTCCTCCTCCTCCTCCTCCTCCTCCTCCCCCCCCCCCCTCCTCCTCCTCCTCCTCCTCCTCCTCCTCCGCCGCCTGACGCCGAGGAGGAGGAGGCGATGGCAGGCCCATTCGACCCTCGCGAGCGAGGCCCTCTCCGGAGCGCCTCGCACGCCGTCGTGCGCAGGGCCCCGGGCCTTCTCCGAGCCCCCCCCGCCCCTCGGAGCGGAGCGGCACGCCAGCCGCTCGCAGGCCACGGCGTGTCGCCACAGGGCCGCCGCCGCGGTGCGCTCGGCAAGAGTTCCTCGGACCGTGCAGTCGGGGCGCCGAGGAAGGAGCCCTTCTCGTTGGGGAGGGGCTCGGTGTTCCTTAGTTTTGTTTGCAGTTCGCCTTTGGTTTTGCGTAGGGTTTCGATGGGAGATCGAAGTTAAACTTTTGGGAAAACAGGGGCCTCGTTCCTTATTTAGGGTTCCTCAGGTCAACGCCCCTTCTGTACATTCAGGAGGGAAGAAAACACACAGACACAGATCATCGTCGCTTTCCCGGACAATCTGGGAAAAGTTGGGAAGTGGGGGGGAGAAGACGAAACTCCAGCAGATATGAAACAAGTGCTGGGAATCCTGGGATCTGTGTGTCCCTGGGCCCCTTCATTTATGCCATCGTGTGTGAGAGCCCTTACTCTCCGTCGCTCGCATGTGGATGCGGCGGACCGCGCTGGGGCCGCCGGTGCTCGATGGGGGAAGAACCACTTGGCATCGCTCGGACGTGTGCAGTTTTTCTCGGCCGGGACCAATGAGGAGCAAGTTGGTCATCGTGCGAAAACTATATACGCACGAAGCCGAAACATGCACGGCGAGTGGACATCCGAGCGATGGCGAGAACACGGGGGCCCTGACCAAGATGTCGCGGGATCGTGTCGACGCCGACCTTTGGTCATGGTCCACGCTGGCCGTCGCCGCTCCGCGAGGATGCCCCGCGACGTGGCGCTGGGCGCAGAGGCCAAGACGGGCACGACGCTTCCGCGCTCAGTCCTGGGCATGGGCACCGTTGTCGTTCCCCTCCAGGTGCCCCTGGAGTTCGCCGTCGGCGGGCGGGAGCTGGCGACGACCCAGGCCCTCTTCGAGCTGCTCCGCGAGGGCGGCTGCGACGAGGCGGGCCCGCCCCTCCAGGCGGGGCGCGCGGGCTCCGCGGCGGCCTGCCAGGCGAGGTGCCTGCGCTACCCAGGCGCCGGCTGCGCGCAGGAGTGGCCCCCCTGCGCCGGGGGCGGCCTCGGGGGCGCGGCGCTCCCAGACCCCCTCGGGTCATGGCAAGATCGGGAGCGAAAGAAGGACGTACACGCACATGAATCCACACTGCTTTCGAGATTTCGCAGTGCGCGAGTGTTCGTATCGCGCGGCCGGTCTCGCGGGCCAAGGGGCCGCGTGCACGTACACAGTTGGGCGCGTACGTCCTCTGTGGGCTCCATGGCAAGACGCGACGGGAGGTTTGGGATCCTGCTCTGCCTCCGGGGGCCCTCGCCGGGGCCCGGCACCGCCGAGAAGCGATTCGGAATGAAAGACGAGTCCCGGGGGATGGGTCGAAGCTTCCGGGAGGCCGCATGCGGGCTGCGCCACTGGGACCTTCGGTGGAGTTCCCCATGGCTTGGCATCGCTCGGACGTGTGTATTCTTTCTCGGCGAGAACCATCGAGGACCATCCTGGACCATCGAGCAAAAAGACACGCACGAAACCGAAAAATGCACGGGAAATGGACGTCCGAGCGACGGCAAGATGGGGCCACGAAGCGTGTGGTGTGCCGACATGGTTGCCGGGACCGCATGCGGACTGCGCCACTGGGACCTCCGGTGGAGCTCCCCGTGAGGACTCGAAGCGTGTGAGGGGCGTGCCGAAATACAAGGACGGAGGGAGGGAGGGAGGGAGGGAGGGGAGGGGAGGGGAGGGGAGGGGAGGGGAGGGGAGGGAGGAGGCAGAGGAGGACGAGGAGGAGTGAGGCACGCGGGGCGCTGCCGCCTCAGACTGAGGACCCAGCCCCACGGGGTGCTTGGCAAGACCTGCCTCCTCAGAACCCCCGTCGCGCTGTTCCTTGCTCGACGCCTGGGGGGGGACGGCGGGGACCGCCGCACCGCGGGCGCCGATCGGCAGGCCGCGCCCCCGGCGCGCCCCGCCCAGAGGCCGCGCCCTGCGCGGTGGCCCCAGGCGGCGCCTGCCGCTACGCCGCGGTGTCCCCCGACGGGGAGTGCTCGCTGCACCGGCGCTGCGCGCGCCCCGCCGCGGGCGCGCGGGGCGGGGGCGCGGTCTTCGGCCGCGCGCAGAGGGGGGGCAGGGGGAGGGTGATAGGGCATTTTGGGGGTATTTGTTATTTTTCTAGTTATTTTGGGGGGGTATTTTGGGGGTATCTTTTATTTGTCGTTGAAATTCCCCCTGTAGGGGGACACGCTCGACATAATGATAGGGGGCGGGGGGGACAGGGGGAGGGCGTTTGCAGCGCGAGTGCGCCTCGAGTTTCAGGCTGGGTCTTGAGACTCTCCGGGCGGCCCCGTCAGGCCGACCCGAGTCCCCCGAGCCCGAGTCCTGCGTTTTCCCGGCGGAAGTCAGGGCCGTCGTACTTCAGCCACGGGCAGAGGGGGGGAAAGGGGGAGGGGAAGATTTCTCAGAAGCACCCCTGCTTCTCAGAAGTTGCGGGCCTTGCCTGTAGATGGGAGGCCGGCGCCTTCCAGGAAGCAGCCCCCTTCGAAAAAAGCCCTTCCCCTTCGCCCTGCCCACCTGTGTGCTTCGCCAAGGTCTACCGCAGTCGCGCGGGGCGGAACGCCTCGGGGCTGCCCGGGCCGCCGCGCGGCGGCGACGGGGGCGGCGGCGAGACGCCAGCGCCGGGGCGGAGAAGCAGCTCCTTCGTGCTCCTCCGCTGCTGTGTTGGGGGGTGGCGGGCCGGATGAGGTGGAGACGACGACGACGACGATGAGGATGAGGATGAGGATGAGGATGAGGATGAGGATGAGGATGAGGACGACGACGACGAGGACGACGACGAGCTGGAGGAGGAGGAGGTGACGACGACGAGGACGGCGACGAGCTGGAGGAGGACGACGACGATGAGGATGAGGATGAGGATGAGCAGGACGACGACGTCGGCGGCGAGGGCGGCGACGCGGGCGACGAGGAGCAGGATGAGCCATTACGAGGACGAGTAAGGGGAGGAGAAGGGGACTGAGGAGGAGGAGGAGGAGGAGGAGGACTTGTTATGAGGAGGGAGACGTGGGGCGAGGCAAACTCAAGATTTACTGCCCCCTGATTACTCTTTGCACCAGGTCCAGCATTGGGCAACGCGTTGGTTTGTGCATCGATCGCGAATTGTACAGTATGCCCGCAGTGCTTCGGTGTTTCGACAAGATGGTCGTGGTTCCCAGATCGGAACACAAGGAAAGGAACACTGATGGGGAAGGTAGATTTGGGGGCCGCCATGTTGGCGGAAGACGGCAGAGTTGGTCGCACAATGAGGTTGCCAGGTCGGCGCAGCAGAGCAGAAATCCAGTGTCGGCCCGAAGACCCGTCGAGTAGCCCGGGGGGTCCATCTCTTATGAAATGCATTTCCCTGACCAGTCTTGGTTGGAGTTGACCTGGGAGGCTTGGCGGGTTGGCCGCAGGTTTGGGCGGAGCATTTGTTTCCGGAGGCGACGACGGGGGCGAATAGCCCAGGGGCGAGCATTACACGTATTCCTCCGGGAGCGTTGCCGAAGACATGGATCATCGGCGCCCTGGATACGTGTCTTGCTCCCCCCTCCTGGACTCGCCGATTCCTCGGAGAGGCCCCGCAGTTGTCGACGCTCCTGCGCTTGGTGGCACTCGCTAGGAGGCCTCCCCTCCCCCCCCCTGGGTGTCGCCATGAAGCGAATGCGTCGTGAGAATCTCCCAAGCGAAGCACCATAATTTTCAGAGCGTGAATTACCCACCCCGCTCCCGCTTCCAGGAAAAAAACAAGTCATACCGCGCGCCGCCCAGTCAGGCGGTCTGACCAGCGCAGACCGTAGTTTGGCGTCGCTTGGTATCTCTTCGAAGGGAGGGTAGGTTTGTTGGTTTGTAAGCGAGCGAGGGTATCTCTTGGAAGCGAGGCATCTCTTGGAAGCGTCAAAGCGAGGCAGGTCTGTTTGCGCCCTAAGAATAGCAGCAGAGGTGACGAGGCGGGGTCGAGGAGCAGGAGGTCGGCTACGTGGGACGGGGGCGAGGGCATGGCCATGCGCACTGCAGCGCATGCTCTCTCGAGGGATCGCCGCTGTCCAGACCACCTGGCATCGCTCGGACGTGTGTATTTGTTCCTCGGCGAGGACCCTTGAGGACCATCCTGGACCATCGAGCAAAAAAAACACGCACGAAACCGAACAATGCACGGGAAATGGACGTCCGAGCGACGGCAAGACCAAACATGTAGCCGGCGTTGAGGCGACAGCACGATGCCTGACTCAGGCGTAAGGTTATGATGCTCCAGCCTGCTTGGCCTTGGTCACCAGGAAGAATTTCCAGCGGCCAAAAAAGTATCGAACCTCAAGGGTTTTCAAGTGTATGGCCATGGGAGTCACTGTTTCGACACTATTCTGATACTCTTTTGACACTTTTCTGGCTGCTGGAAATTATTTCTGGGATGTGGTCCTTAAGTAGGACGGGAACGACACAAACGTAAGGAAGTCTCGGGCGAAGCAGCTGTCAAGACCGCCTCCACGTAGGGCGGTCTCACCAGGCGGCCTCGGGCTCCCCGTCCCCCATGGGAGTCTCCCGTGGTCCTTCTAAGCTCTAGCGGAGCCTTCCCGCGCAACGCTGTTGGGGGGACCTTTGTGGGCCCCGGAAACGGCAGGGCCGTGGTTTCACCGTTTCCAAAAAAATGCCCCTTGAAAATGGAAACGGCAACAAAAACGGCGACCGGAAAGGGCAACAAAAACGGCTCCAGGATTGGAACCGGAGCCGGAACCGGTCAAAAAACGGCGACGGAACCGGTGATAAAAACGGCGTCGGAACCGGCAAAAAGACGGCAAGACGGAACCGGCAATAAAAACGGCCCTGTCGTTTCCAGGGCCCACCAAGGGGGGAACATGTGTCTCTCGGGGGCGGACAGAACCCCCAACAGTGACACGTCGATTAGTGAATTGTCCGTTTTCGGTTCTCGAGAGGGCGCCGCGGCCGTTATTTTCCAGGCTTGCGCCCGCCAGGTTTGGGCCTCAGGTCGTTTTCACTAAACCACGTTTTACTAAAGGGAGGTCTGTCCATCCCCGAGTCTCTCTATAGATTCTCGCCCTTTGGGGGGCTTCCCTGTTCTCTCCACGGGCTCCGGAACTGAGTGCAAACGGCTCGGGGCGAGACGTCGATCCCAGGGAGATGCCTTGAGCACTGGCATCGCTTGCTCGTGTGCAGTTTCTCTCGGCGAGGACTTTCGAGGAGCATCCTGGATCATCCTGCGGAAAATAAGCGCACGGAGCCGAGCAGTGCACTGGGAATGGACGTCCGAGCGATGGCAAGGGAGGGTCCAATGCACGGGGAATGGACGTCTGAGCGATGGCCAGGGAGGGTCCAGGTCCCACTTCCCTCGGGTCCCGGCTGCTTCATGCCATGGCGTCTTTTCTGCGCCCGTTCGACCGCCGAGTGGGCAGCCGAGCGGGCTTGGTTCCGACTCGGAGGTCAGTAAAACCCCCCCTCGATCCCTCGAGCCTCGATCCCTCGAGCCTCGATCCCTCCTCCTCTTCCTGCTCCTCCTCCTCCTCCTCCTCCTCCTCCTCCTCCTCCTCCTCCTCCTCCTCCTCCTCCTCCTCCTCCTCCCCTCCTCCTCCTCCTCCTCCTCCTCCTCCTCCTCCTCCTCCTCCTCCTCCTCCTCCTCCTCTCTCGGTTCTCGAAAGGGCGTCGCGGCCTCAACCTGTTCGGGCCTGCGCCCGCCGGGTCTGGCCCTGGGCAGTCTTTCCCAACCCTCCTGCGTTGGGTTCTTGTTTTGACCAGCGCATTGCGGTCGCGACCTCCTCCCTCTCATCCCGCCTCCCTCCTCCTCCTCCTCTGATCGTTCCTCCTCACCTCTCCTGCCTGTTCCTTGGGGAAGAGCGCGTGCTGTAGGCGCTTGTGCGCCGCCCCCCCCCCCCGGGTTCGAACCGAGGGGGGGCTCCCTAGAATGGCTCTGGGCTCCGAGACCTTGGGAGCGGGCCAAGAAGGGGGGCCACCCCCCACGACGACGACGACGACTCAGACGACGACGACGACGACGACTCAGACGACGACGACGACGACGACGACGACGACGACGACGACGACGACGACGAGGCGGGCCAGCAAGTGCACACAACGGCGACAAAATGGCGACAGGGGGCCGGCACGCGCAAACGCGGACCGCGACGATGACGTCGACTACGGGGACGTGGACGACGAGGAGGAGGAGGACGACTATGGCGGCGACGACGATGACAACGACGCTGACGACGACGACGACGACGACGACGACGACGACGACGACGGCGACGACGACGGCGACGAGGACGACGACGACGACGAAGACGTCGACGACGACGACGACGACGACGACGACGACGACGAAGACGACGACGACGACGACGGCAGCGGTGGCGGCGGCGGC